TGGCCACCGTACTGCTTAGGGATAGTGGTCGGGTCCATGAAAGAGCTAAGGGTAGGCAGGACCTCCGCGGATGAGAGAATAAAGATCTTAGAGGTAGTGACGGGGTCAAACCAGCGCTTAATCCAGCCCCAGACGGTTGGAAAGAAGGAAGGAGCACCGATGATCTTCGCTGGTTAGCACGGCTCCATGAACCAAATAAACAGCTAGGAGGGGCTCACAAAGATGCGGTCCAGGGTCTCCGGGTAATGCGCCGTAGCCAGAACGCTCGCGTCCTGCATGTGACCCTTCAAGTTCCAGAACTGCTTCAAACCAACACCACTGACATCAACAATGTTGTTCGAGCTGACAATGGGCGTGTCGGGATGCGGGCGAGACAATTGTGAGCACAAGGGCATGACAAAACGGAGGAGGTTCTCGTAGAGGGCGAAGAGACGCAAAAGACGCTGTGGCACTGTGGAGGACTTGTGCGTTTCCGCCGTCGCGGAGGGATCGGTCATGGTGGAGTTATAAGCGGCCATGTTCTTGCTGTTCAGGTGCTTGATCTCGAACACATAAACGGGAATACCACGGCGGTCCCGGCGACCTGTCCATTGAGGGTACTGTGTCGCATTAGCAATTCAACTCCATCGCACAAGACACGCAGGTTCACCAACCATCCTCCTCGCGGCGTCATATGACTCCACATCGATATTCTCATACAGAGACTCGATGGCATTCTCCTTACGCCAATCCTCGGTATCCTTGAACTGGCCCCAAGCGCCATTCACGTCAAACTTGCGGGCGCGCAGAAACCGCCTAGAATGCCCCGTCAGTGCCATGCACCCCTCCTAAGAGCCCAACCAAGGCAAAACATACAGCATGGTCGCATCATCATGGCTCGCCGCCTCCTTGTCACTCGCGGGCTTGTAATATCCATTTTCTTTACTTAGTTTCTTGAACTCCTCCAGTTTCTTCTCCTGATCCTCGGTGAGATGGTTCAAATGTCCGGCCAGCCATTCCGTCCCCGCAGCCTGAGACGCGGACGCAACGGGGTCATTCTTGGGATCGCTTTCTAGCGCGGCGTTATCGCTCTCCTGGCTGGATTTCGTCCCCCACAAAGGCATTTTGCTCGCTTTAAATATTTTGGGCTGGTCTTGGGAAGTTAAAATGTTGTTTCGGATCGTTTCGGATGAAAGAGAGATTGATTGATTGATGGATTGACGCACGGGGCAGAAGATCGTCGTCGGCACGGCCGATTTCTGTTCCTTTCGCTCGGGTGCGGAACTCGATATGGATCTTGTCAAGTCCCGGTCGGTAGTACTTGAGGAGAGGAAAGTGAAGGTACTGGGGTGCACAGCACTACGCGATGAAGAGCGGAATTCTCACACGACCCGAATCACAGAGTTTTGGTGATTTGTACTGACCGTAGTCACGATGAATGACTTTTGGGACTGCAGTCGGTGTCGGGCATTACTTTTAGTTCCGCTTATGTCAGAAATTAATGCATAGTTATCCCTGCATCCCGCGGATGGCAATTCCACGCGGTAGAGGAACTCCCCAACTTTTGGTATTGATATTCAAATCCGATCTCTCCTTCACTATGCTATAGGATTCCCTAAGATAACCAAAAGAAAAAGAAAGAAATAATACACAGCCCATTTCCTGTGAGTCATTGAAAATTACCTGCAAATATTTATACACAAAAAATTCCTTCCCTTCATGACCTCAAGAACTTGATGTCCCAGTAAAGCTTTTAGTCCTCGGTGAGGTCACCGTACTCCCACATACCGCGTCTCTCCTGCTTCGCCTCTTCCTCTTGGCTACGCAGGTGTGACAGCGTCTCTGCGGCAGAACGTTCCCAAGCCTTCAGCTTTCTGGGCACCATGGCAAGACCCTCCCGGATGAGGTCAGCATTGATGCTGTGGTCCAGGTTCTTCGACTCGGTGGGGTCCATCAAAGTAACGTGCAGAATTCCCTCTGGAGACACGTAGTCGACGTTGGCGACAAGCTCCCGGTTGTAGAGCTGCTCTTCCAGGAAGTCGGCAGCATCCTGCAGATAGTCACCCGAGCCAGGGAGCTGAGCCATGGAGAGCACAGCGTCCACAGCCTGAGCACGGAGTTTCTGCACGGAGAACTGCGGCTGGCTCAAGGGCCTGAGACGAGACCAGGGAAGAACCTCGGAATTACCGAAGTCGATGTAGAGAACCTCGGCCTGCTGTTTCTCACGGTCATTGCGACGCACCTTGGCACGGTACCACTCGTTATCCTCAGTGAACTTGGCGGCAACGAAATCACCGGCCTTAGGAGGACCAGGCAATGGTGTGTCGTTCGCCTTGTTCAGGTGGAATGAGCGGAATGCATTCATCAATTCAGTGAGCGCAGAGGTGCCAGTGCCAATCTGCTGGATCTTGAGGCGGCCGTTAGTGGGGTCAACGTAGGTGACCATCACATCACGGTAATCCTTGCCGCGCTGAGAAACCTCATTGGCACCGTTGGTATCGGCGGTCGTCTCCTCTTCTTCCTCCTCAACATCCTTGCTAGGATCCCAGTCATGCCAGAGCCCCTTGCGAGCTTCCTTGGCCTTCTGTTCCGCTGCGAAGTACTCGGTGGCGTGTCCGGACTGCTCCGCAGAGTAGGCATGGACAGTAGCAAAACCTTCCTCGAGAAGGACCTTGGTGAAGTTCTCCTTGTTGACGTAAAGAGTGCCGATGAAGCCACCAACCTTGTCGATTGTCTCGACGTCAATTTCAACATCACGCTGCATGCAACGCCTGTTTGCTAGGTCATGTGCTTCCTGTCCGAAAGGTTCGGACTGTTCGTTGGGGTTACGGGCCGACCGAGGCGCACGAATACCCGACAGGACGAGGGTCAGCTTGGCGTTCTCACGAGGCACAAGAACTGTGAAGCGAGAGCCCGACTTGACAAAGTCCACGATAGCCGGCACGCGCTTTTGCCGCTGGAGGATGGAAACTTCCATCTTGGCCTTCTGGACGCTCTCGGAGTAGTCCTGGTACTGCTTCGCCTTGGGTGGCTTCGGGGACCACATTCCCTTACCGTCTTTCTGAGCATCAGCCTCAGCGATCAGCAAAGAATCATAGTCGGGGGAGCGGTCGTCATCATCCTGGCGGTGGCGGATCACAGAAGCGTAGCCAGCCTCAACCAGAGCCAGAGCAATGTTGGTATTTCCGTAGATGACCGTGGCAACGTCCCTTTCTTCGTATCCCTCGGTAGCGGGCTTCTTGCCGTTGACGGTAACCTTGACATGCTTTCCGATGAGCCTCTTACGGACAAACTCCTTGGCATCGGCAGCGAAGGGCGCCTGCTTGGGGTCAGATGGCTTAGGCTGGCGAACACTGCTCAGGCTGATCTTCTTTTCTTGGCCGGCCTTGTTTCTAAGGAACAGAGTATCGGCATTCAGCACACGACTAACAATGTAGTCCTCGGCGGCCCCGCCAGCAGGACCCTTTGCGACAAGACCAGTAAACAGACCCTTCCGAGCATCCTTGGCGGCCTTCTCCGCACGGCGGAAACTAGCCATATCGGCACCGAGGAGGGGAGCGTGCAGATCGTGGCAACGGGCCAGGCCCTCTTCCAAAAGGAACTTGGCAATGTTACCATTAGGATGGAGAACGGTTGCGATCAATTGACCCTGTGGCGTGACACCGAGCAGGGACACTTGGACCTTACGCTGCTGCAACCGAGACTCGACAAACTGGTGGGCATCATCTCCGAACGGCTCGGCAGGCTGCTCCTTGCCCTCGGCGTTCACCCGTCGGGCAGCTGGCGCCCGGACACCGGCGACGGCAACCACAACCTGCAGGTGCTCCTGGGGAGTAAGAAGCAGGCGAAGGACCAGCCTGTCCCCATTCAAGACTCTCTCAACGATAGCCTCCAGCGGCTTGTTTTTATATTCCTCGACGAGGGCCTTTCCATCGGAAAGTTCATAGGTGGTCTCCGTGTGGCCCTTCTCTGCTCCAGCCCAGACACCCTTATCCTCGGACTGAGCGTGTTCCTCTAAAGCGCGCAAACGCTGTAGCAATGCAGCGGTCTCTTCGGATTCGTCGGCGCGTTTACCGGCCTCCTCGCGGACACGGACCCATCCTTCCTGGACGCTAATGTCGGGCAACAAGACTTCGAAAGTAGGGAGTTTGATTGTGCCATAATCGCGCTTGGCACCGGTAGGGATGGTATATAAGACGTCGAATTGGACGACCTTTCCTACAAGCAGCTCACGAAGGAATTCACGAGATTGAAAAGCATAGGACTGTAGAGCACACGGGTCAGCGAGAAAACATTCCCGCAGATATTATTGTAATCAGGGGGCAAAGAATGTAAAAGAAGTGAAAGATGGCTGTTCGTGCAGTAGAGGTCGCATGTGTGTCAAAATTGGAACTCGGTCGGAGATAGAGGCCACCTATCCTGACCCCAAACCAACGGAGGGGGCAGCAATTGGGGAAACACCACGAAGAAAATTCCACTCACCTCATCGCCTTCCCTGCGCAACCTGGGCGCTGAGACGTATGCCAAACTCAGGGTGCGTTCCTGTCCTGGGTTGGTGATATGCGACAGCACAACGGTGTCGCCTGACAGGACAGATTTCACGCGGGCTTCCAAAGGCATACTGGGAAAGCAACCAATGATAAGACAAGATAAAAGATTGACGACACTGGAGAGACCAGTGTGGGAGACAATCAACCCTGTTTGAAGAAAACGAAGGAAAGAATGAACCGGTAAACAGTAACAACAGTAGTAATAAAATGCAACAGGATGGGTTTATTAATTAAGGGGGGGAAGAAGGTCGGGGTTTCCTGGAGTACGCAGAGAGAAATGAAATGTGGTTGGAAGGGGAGCTTCCAGACTAGTCCAAGGCGGACACCTGACTTTCGCTCCGGTGATTTTTGTGGGGGGGGAAAAGAAAACAGTCTGGCCAAAGGGAGATTGAATTCATTTCAACCACCGAACACTAGTCCTATTCGAGTTGACCTGGTGCATTGGAAAATCTACTGGTGCAAAGGGACATGTGAATAAATAAAGAATATCGAATAAAAATTCAACTCGTGTCATCATTCCTATACAATTTCTAGAATTGATTTCGCCAGGACCAGAAACCTCCTATCAGTCCTCCAGGAACCGCATAGAAGATCCGTCCAGATCAACTTTTGAGCATCACCAAGATACCTCCCAGTTTGACTTGCAGACTGGTCCAAGTCTGATCCTGCACTTCACATCCTAGATTGACTAGAACTAGTGTGTTTAAGCAGCAATGCCAATGACACCTACACAACCATTAATATACAATTCTGCGTCAGGTCTCGATACCTGAGCCAGCCACTTACCGCAAGCGGGGCGAGCACCAGCATTGCCAGTCTTCTTGGACTCCTCGTGGCCACCACGGCCGAGGTCGTCAGTGCCGGCGTGGATGACGAGAGTACGCTACGATAGTTAGCCTTTTTCGACTTGTTCAGTCGACATTCGAGATGGACTTACGCCAAGAACGCTCTCGGCACCGATCAGCTTAATAAGCTTGTCCTGCTTGGAGCCGACGGCGTTACCCTCAGCATCGGTCTTGAAGTTGCCCAAGTCACCGACGTGACGGTTCTCATCCTCGGGAGCACCGTGCTCCTTGCCGAAGGGGTTGACTAGATGACCGTAGTCAGCCTTGGATACTCAGGGTTGAGAAAGGGCAGCCGGAAAGCCAGGAACGTACAGTGAGGGCCAGCGGAGGTGCAGCCGTTGGTGTTGTCACCGAACTGGTGGACATGGAAGGCACGCTCAGCGTTGGCGTCGTGGCCCGTAATGTTCCAGGAGACGGTGGTAGCGGCGTTGGCGTCAGCCTGCTCGAAGGTGACGGTGCCGGAGATCTTGGAGTCTCCACGGAGAACAGCAACTAGAGCCGTCAGTCATCATTCTCGTTTCGGAGCTAGCGGCAACTAGCAATCATTCACAATCGGGAAAGATTCCAGAACGTATGGGGTTGCTGATCGATCAAAGCGATATTCTGAGCTCTTTACACATGGCGTGAAGCTTATGCACCACTCGACCAAGGCCGCCAGGCTGGAACGGGTAAAACCATAACATAGCGAGGTACCGTGACAAGTGAGCACCCTGGGGTTTAGATCTAGATCTAAATCTGACATCCCAAGCAGAAACTGGGATGCGGCCCAGTGATAGGCCGGGAGGCACACGCACGACGAGGGGGTTGCTTCACAAGGTGCTCAAATCTGCTCACTCAAGGTCCCCCGGCCACGGTCGATCGTGGATCCTTCCCACGCAGAGCCAATAACATAGCAAACAGGACAAATAAAGATAGAGGTACCTACCAGCCTTGACCATTTTGACGGTTGGGAATTAATTTAATTTCTTGAAAAGAAAAATCAAAGTGAAGGGAAGATAGATTGATGTCAGGGAGAAGAGAAGAAAGAGAGAGAGAGAGAGAAAGAGAGAGAGAAGGGGAAATGGAGGGAGGATGAGGGGTAACTAATATGACGGGATTCCATCATGACTAGCTATAAGCAGTACTACTAATACAGCGGGACTAACGAACTGAGTAGCAGTCAAGAACGGATTCGATCAGCTTCCAGTTCTTCACTGGTATTGATGTTACAGCATACAGTAAGAAAAATTGGAGGGAAACCCAAGGAAACGCACCCCCACTTGGCGGGGTCTTTTCGGGAATGACGTCCTGGTGGTGTATTTTGCATGAAATGAAAAACCCACCCGCACGAGTCACCTCCCTCTTCCGGCGATTCCTAAGCATCGCCGGTCCAGATCTTAAGCCATGGCGAAGCCATTCTTTACATTCACATTCTCCTTTCTTTTCCTGTACGATGTGCTACTACTAGTAGGACACGAACTCCTACGAATAGCTGTGGCTCTCTTTTGTTTCGGTTCCCCAACACAGCCATCCATACGACCCCACCATGCAGGGAGATGCGCTACTAATGCAGACCAGCTGTGTCGAGGAAGCTACGATTCATGCAAAGATTCAATTGCAACTGTCGATTTTTAGGTGAGTAGCAACCGATAGTACAATACTGCTCAGCTTTAAACCAAGTTCCTTCCGTGCTTGCCTCGGCTAGGCCCTGTGTCGATTTTCTTCCAGCACGCAATTGAGCTTGACAAATGACAACTGCTCGTACCCGCTTCCGGTCCGATAGCTCTAGATCGACACCAAGTCCATTATCCCGTCTTGTAGCTTGCTTGTTGCTGTCCTACGGCTGGATTTCCCATTACAAACCTGGATCAAGCAATATTTCAAGGCAGTCCGCAATATGTAGCCACATGTAGGGAAAAGAGGAAAAAAAAAAAAGTGAAAGATAACTCATTCATGAATCGTATCTACTAAACCAATTTTGTAGGTCGCCAATTTTTACATGAGGACATTGCATGGACATAACTTTAATTAATGCAAGTGACAGTCTCCCTTTAGGCCTGGACCTTCTGCTTGAGGATGTCCTTCAGGGTCACGGCATCGGCCGCGAACTTGGAGATACCCTCACGGAGCTTCTCGACGGCCATGGCCTCCTCGTTGAAATCGAAGCGGAACAGAGCCTCGTCGTTGATGTAGGTCTTCTTGGGGATGTCAAGGCCGGCGGCGCTGGCGGCGTCGAGCTTCTTGGGGACAGCGGCGGTAGAGTTGTAGAGATCCTCGAGGAGGTTGGGCTACACGTATCCGTTAGTACTGTCATCAGTCATAGCCAATGGCGCTCAAAACTTACGGAGATGGTCAGGTAGTCACAGCCAGCAAGCTCGGTGATTTCACCAGTGTTACGGAAGGAAGCACCCATGACGATGGTGTTGTAGCCGTGCTTCTTGTAGTAGTTGAAGATGCTCTGAACAGACTTGACACCGGGGTCCTCCTCGGCAGAGTAGTCACGCTTGTGAGCAGCCTTGTACCAGTCAAGGATACGGCCAACGAAAGGAGAGATGAGGTAGGCACCGGCCTCGGCAGCAGCGATGGCCTGGACGGTGGAGAACATGAGGGTCAGGTTGCAGTTGATGCCGTGGTCACGCTGGAGGACCTGAGCGGCCTTGATACCCTCCCAGGTGGAAGCAATCTTGATCAAGACACGGTCCTTGGAGATACCGTTCTCCTCGTAGAGCTACATGTAATTGTTAACCGCACGCTCACCAGAGCTATGTAATCTGATTTTGTCATACCTTGATGAGGTGAAGGGCCTTGTCGATGGAGGCCTGGGTGTCGAAAGAGAAGCGAGCATCAACCTCCGTGGAGACCTTTCCGGGGATGATCTCCAGGATCTTCTTGCCGAACTCAACCAGGAGACGGTCAAGGGTGGCGTCAACCTTCTCGTCGACATTGCTGCCCTGTTTATACTGTTAGACAAGTGCCCCATTGGGAAAAATGACTCAAAGGGAAGCTCGAGAACGACGTACGTGCTGCTTGCCGTACTCGACAGCGGCGTCGATAAGGGCGGCGTACTCGGGCTTCTTGGAAGCGGCCAGGATCAAAGAGGGGTTGGTGGTGGCATCCTGGGGCTTGTACTTGCCGATGGCTACAGTTCAGTTAGTTCCTGATCCGACGGATATGGAAAGATAGGGAAGGAGGACATACTGGCAAAGTCACCTAGAAGGATCAATTGTTAACGGGAATTGAATCCTTGCGATCAGGGGGCGAATTCCAGTGACCGAGATACTTACCAGAGTCACAGACGACGACCTAAGCGGGGATAGTTAGCAACAGAGTTTCGAGGCAACACGGATTGCCACCAGGGGTAAATGAAGGCTTACAGTGCCAGAGGCCTTGAGCTGCTCAAGAGAAGAAGACATTGTGAAAGCTGGAATGGTATCACGAACAACGGGGTATAATGGAAAGAAGATTGGAAGACTGGAAAAGAAAGAAAGAGTATGAAGAAGGAAGAATCGATGGTCAAGGAAGAAATGTCGGGAGTAGAAATAAAAAACGGGTGGACGTGGCGATCGCAGAAAGACGCCGAAGCACCAGTGGTTTTCTTACTATGGGAAGTGGGATGGTGGGGCACCTATGACGCTATGCCTGGTCAGAACTCAGTGTGGGAGTTTGTCGGCCATATGGCCTCAGGCAGTCCATGCGTACTGTCATCTGTATGATCCCATACATCCATACATACAGTTGAACTAAACAGATATCAAAATCTCCCTCCTTCCTCAACAAACCCTCCATTCGAACTCCCATTCAAGAAGCGAAACCAGCTTTTTCTTTCTATACTTGCTGGCCACAATCAAACCTTCCGACCCTCAATGCGGCTATTGTACACACCCCCTGAACAGAAGCCGGTTCAATCGGCGCAGTGTGCTCCGGCAACGCATGGCTGTCGGAGTATGACGGTCCACCTGGTATCCCACCAAAAGGAAACCCCGCTCAATGGTACGCCTGCCCAGAGGTCCGTACCTTTTCACCGAAGACACGACGGAGGAGTAGTTCCGTCCCTAGTGACTCCATAATATCAAACAGTAAGGATTTGGTGAGCAGCTGACAAAGGTTCAATTCCCGGTGTTACGAAACCATCGAATTTATTAATCGGAACAAAGAAACGCCATCGTAGACATTCCACTGACTCTGCATATTATATCTAGTAGTGGATGATGTCCTAAAACAAAATATCTCATAAGGGAATATTGTAATAGGGTTTGTCAAGGACTTGTCCAGACCCTGGGGGAACTATTGATTGATATCAAATCGCGGTTAATACTGAACAAGGAAGGACAAAGCGCTACAGATTTATCCGGCGATCCTCGCATATATTGACCCTTCCCCAGAGTAGGATAAAATTAATACTCGATAAATACCTGAATGGGAACAGAATCCACATTCTACGTTGAAAAAATGGCCCGTCTTGTTTTTGTGCTCCATCCAGAAATGGATGGCAGTGGGATTTAATTGCAAGACACGCACAGCACCACAATACCGCGTGCCATGTAGGAACAGTGTAGATGGTCGTGATAGCCACTAAGCCACCAAACACTGATACAGTGCTTGGATAGCGTATCCTTGACTCATCAACTAACGCATGTCTCTAAAAACAAAATATATATATGACCTAATACGTTTAATGGACGGTCCCCGCATCCTTGACAAAGAGGCCAGGGGTTACAAGTTACAGTTCTTCCAACACATCCTAAGATCTATGTAACATGTATAGCCTTTGCATGCGCCTAGACCAGGCCAGTCTGGGGTAAGGGGTGGTCCCATTGTGGCAATCTCTGCTATCAAAGTGGAGTCTGCCGAAATAGGATGGATGTCGGTATGTGTGGTCCTCGCTACTTAGAGAGTAGACAGATGAAGTACGAAAGACAGAGCGGATGAGCCTACTATCGAGATGAAATTGCAAAATCATGGACGATATGTATCTTTAGGTGTTGGCTTTTCATTACCTAGAGTGTACGTAGAAGATATTCCAGACCCAACCATCCCGCCGGAACTTTTTGCTTTCCCTTTTGGGAAATTTTAACCGCCGCCATCTATATTTTGTAAACCACTATATAATCATTCATCATTTCCCACGTCACAAATATATAGTTGCAAAGAAAGAAAAAAAAAAAGGGAAAAAGACAAAAACAAGAAAAAAGAAAAGAATAGAGAGAGGCTGAAAGACGCAACCAGGAAAGCAAGGAGGCAACGAGAAATGAAAATGGGCAGAATGGAAAAGAGAGGGAGACCGTAGAAAGCTGGTGTGCTATATTCGACTATTTCCAAAGTTGATTTATACGGGTCTTGTGGGCGATAGTGTAGTGGTGCGTTGGATATCCTTTTAGCGCCGCTGGACACAGCTCCATTCATACTATGTATTGAGTAAGCTTCTGTCAATATGCATTGGGCCAAACCACGCTTACCACTTTCCCCGCTTCATCTCCCGTATAGACCACATGTGGAAGCGTGAGAATACAGCTAATACCGGAGGAAATATTGGCGCCATTATCACGAGTGCTGTCAGTATGATGAAGTTGCCGAATTAACTCCAATTCGAAGCGTCCGTTGTGGACGATTTTACTCCATATCTGGAACATAGTTAACCTCCAGTTGAAAATGGACAGGCTACTAAGGAGGGATTCAAGGGAGGGCACATACATTGACGACGCCTCGTCTGTGACCAGTGAAGAGAAGCTCTCGCTCCTGCCACTCGTTGTTTACGCCCTCGTAAAAGACACAGGACATCACTTGATCATCGTCGGACTCGCACACTGCCTGGTCTAGCAATAATTCTCCATTGAGTGTGTATAGGCTGATACGTCTTCCTCGACAGACTGCGATTTCTCCTGTCACATCGTTGATTCTCGCACACTAGGATAGATCAGTAACGGGGGTCAAAGGGCTCTGATATGCGAGTTATAGCTTACATCTACATGTCCTTTGGCTGGAAGCTCTCGAACAAAAGTTTGGCGGTTGAGATCCCAAAGCATGATTTGACCATCAGTAGACGCAGAGAGAAGAACACTAAATGACCGCGACACTGCTAATACCGTTACAGGCGAGCGATGTCCGAAAAGTGATCCTGCAGGTTGTAGATCTACAGACTTTACTGTGGAGGTGAATGTCCATGTCGAGACGGTACAGTCTGTTCCCGAGGTAACTAGAGTACGAGAATCCGCAAATATTGCAGCTGATAACTGACCAATATGAAGATGTTCGAAGTGTCCGAGAAGCTGCAGCCTTTCAGTATTTCATCCAGAAAAAAAAAAAAAAAAAAGGAAAGAAAGAAAGCAAGTGGTGGCTTCGACGCCTACCTTTCGACTGTCTGCGGAATAGAATCTCACGCTACCATCAAAGAAACCCCATTCCATATACTTGTCATAAGCCGGTGGGATATTTAATCTGAGAGCTGCAGCACACAACAAGCGGTCCTGCTTCATTGAAAGCGAAGATACCTGTTCACCAATGTCTGTAATTCTCGTATTAGTAGGCCAAAATAATAATATTAATAATAATAAAGGAGAAAAAGAGTCTAGGTGGCCAAAAACGTACCTAGCAGTGAGAGTGGTTGCTGGGTAAGTGACTCAGCGAGACGATCCAGCCGTGGGACCTTGTACCGTACGTCCTCTCTCTGTGAGTGAGGGCGATTGAAGATCTGGTGTGGCGTCTGCCCAAAGTTGTGGATGATGCCAATCGTGGCCAGTCGTTCCACAGGGTCATCGATAGCATCAACATCTTTGGCCCCTTGGTATGACAGGTGATGGAAAACATTGACCGCTTCAATGGCGGCCTCACCTTTCTGTTTGCAACCGAATACCAAGTCTATCCAATGGTGCAGATTCTGAGTCACATAAGGACTTTCCAAAGCTTCACGGTGTTTTTGGATGAAGATTTTCGGATCGCCTTTTGCCCATGGCGGCAATTCCACAGAATCAATCGCGGTAGTCATGTTCTGTAGAACTCCGAAATCATACTTATTGGAATTGACGAGGAACTCTGGGAGGTAGAAAAATTCAGGTATCAGCTCTCTCACGTCAGACATATTCCCGCGCGAAGCGGATTCCCAAGCCTTTCCAATGGAGTAGAAAAGACGGTCAGCGTGATCGAATGTTCCACCCTGAAGTAAGAGGTATGACTTCACAAATGGCTGAAGACGGATCAAATATGAGCTGACAATCATTGCTGAAGAGTAGTGGGTTCCGTAATGAAATGGGGGAGAATCGCCCGCCCCCATCTCTGCGAACGCTTTGTATCGTTCTCTGAACTCGCCCTCTCGCTCCGGCGTTTGGCAACCCATAGGCTTTGATAAGTCACGGAAGGTTTTTGGGTTACTCAAATCCAGCTCCTCGCTTGTATAATCAGCCAGCACCCAAGGGAAAACAGGGTACTGCGTCAGATCGTTGAATGTCCTTCCAGCGAGGGTGTTGATAAGCATGAGATAATGAAAGTTAGAGATTTCACCCTTCACCCACTTGCGTGTTGCGGGGTGTGCGGGTGAATGACCAAAGACGCTGGCAAATCTTGACCCGAGAGACTGAGGTGCATCTTCCGGGCTTCTAAGGGTTTCGAATCTCCAGACATCTTCTGGTCGCGAGTGGCCAACGCTTCCTGTTACTTGAGGCGCCTTCATTGCGAGTTGGCTACAAAGGTTATCCCGAGCGGGCGATGAGATGAGGGTCAGCAAATAGCTAGTTCCGTCGGTAAAGAATATTTCAAGGGCCACATCGCGAAATAGGAACCGCCTTTTGGAGACGCTGATCAAGTCCGACCACTTCCAACTTCTGGTCTCATGCTCCTGTGATTTACGTTCATTGGATTCCCGGCCAGTGATCATGCGTACATAAGGATCTCGTTCCTCTGTAGGGGCTTGCCAGACATTGACAATCTCACCATCTGACCTCTGGAAAAAGTTATCTAGAATGTAGATGTGGTCTTTCCCAAGGATCAAAAGGCCTTCGCATGCCTCCAACCCAACAATACGAGACATGTTGCATACGCTATCGACCTGGTCACCACGGTGTAGGCTTCTCATGACCTTTCTGTTCTTGTCTTCATAGTCTTCAAGATCAGCCTTCGGGTCGTCAATCATCTCGAAGCTTTCTTCAAATACGCTCCTACTGTCGGGACCAATACCCTGCGAATTACCCTCTGCGTGGTCGGCAGCCATGGCAGTGGGAGTTAGACCTAAAGAGTCACCGTTTGGAGATGCGACGTTCGTGTCTAACCTCATCGCCGGAGGCTCTGAAGCCTTTCGTTTCGGTTGGTAGTCTTGACGATCCCCTGAATCATCCGGTACTGTACGTAGTCGCATACGGCTTCGCCCTTCGGTTTGGTCAAGACGCCACCTTCGTTCCTTCTGTTCAGCAAAAACACCTCCATA